AATAAACGTTGAAAAAAAAAAAATTAAAAAAAAAAAAATGTTTTAAGTGGACTAAAGAGATGAACAGGGGCACCTGGATGGCTCAGTCAGTTAGGTGTCTGACTCCTGACTTTTTTTGGCTCAGGTCATGATCTCACAGTTTGTGGGTCTGAGCCCCGCACTGGACTCTGCACTAGCAGTGCAGAGCCTCCTTTGGATTCTCTCTTCCTCCCTCTCTGCCTCTCCTCTGCTCGTGCGCTCTCTCTCAAAATAAATAAACTTAAAAAAAAAAAAGAGATGAACAGACACTTGAGCAAAGAAGATATCTGGATGGTAAATAAGCACATGAAAAGAAGCTCAACATCCTAATTTAGCCATTAGGGAAATGCAAATGAAAACTGCAATGAGAGGGGCGCCTGGGTGGCGCAGTCGGTTAAGCGTCCGACTTCAGCCAGGTCACGATCTCGCGGTCCGTGGGTTCGAGCCCCGCGTCAGGCTCTGGGCTGATGGCTCAGAGCCTGGAGCCTGTTTCCGATTCTGTGTCTCCCTCTCTCTCTGCCCCTCCCCCGTTCATGCTCTGTCTCTCTCTGTCCCAAAAATAAATAAATGTTGAAAAAAAATAATAAAAAAAAATGTTTAAAAAAAAAGAAAACTGCAATGAGAGACCACTTGAAATCTGATGGAGAGCCATGATAATAATTTTTTTAAAAAAGGAAAAATAACAAGTGTCGATAAGGATGTGGAAAAACTGGAACTATCATACACTGCTAATAAAAATGTAAAAATAATTCAAGTCACTGTGGAAAACAGTCTGGCAGCTCCTCCAAAGGTAAAACACAGAATTACCATATGACCCAGTAATTCTACTTTTAGGTATTAAACCAAGAAAATGTGTCCCTATCAAAATTTATACATAAATATTGATAGCACTTTTATTCATAACAGCCAAAAACGGGACAACCAAAATGTCCTCTCATAGGTGATCAGCTAAACTGTGATATTATGGAGCACTACACAGCAATAAAAAAGAACAAATGATCAATAACCTGGATGAATCTCCACATAATTACAGAGGAAAAGAAGACAGACAAGAAAGAATATATACTTTCAACAAATGATACTGGAAACATAATATCCATGTGCAAAATACTGAAGCTGGACCTGTACATTACACCATATACAAAAATTAACTCACAGTGGGTCAAAAACCTAAGTGTGTGAATTAAAAATATAAAACTCTTAAAAGAAAACATAGAGGAAAAGCTTCATGACACTAGAATTGGCAATGATTTCTTGGATATGGAGCCAAAAGTATAAGCAACGAAAGAAAAATTGGATAAATTGGACTGTATCAAAATTAAAAACTTCTCTGCATCAAAGGATACAACAGAATGAAAAGGCAACCTACAGGATGGGAGAAAATATTTGCATAGCGTGTACCTGATAAGACATTAATATCCAGAATATATAACGAACTCCTGAAACTCAATAACAAAAAAAAAAAACCTGATTCAAAAAAGGGCAATGAACTTGAATACACATTTCTCAAAAGAAGATCTACAATTGTCTAATAAGCACATGAAAAGATGCTCAACATCACTAATAATTAAGGAAATGAAAATCAAAATCACAATGATGTATCACCTCACACCCATTAGCACGGCCACTATCAAAAAAATAATAAATAACAAGTGTTGGCAAGTGTGGAGAAATTGAAATTCTTATATACCATTGATAGGAACATAAAATGCTGCGGATGCTTTGAAAAAAACAAAGTCTGGAGGTTGCTCAAAAAATTAAAAAATAGAACTACCATGTGTTCCAGTAATCCTCTTCTGGGTATATACACAAAAGAACAGAAAATAGAATCTTGAAGAGATATTTGTACAACCACATTCATAGCAGCACTATTCACAATGGCTAAGAGGTGGAAGCAACCCAAATGTCCATCAATGGTTGCATGCATAAACAAAATGTTTATGTATATACATATGATATAATATTATGTATATACATATGATAGAATATTACTCAACCTTAAAAATGAAGGAAATTCTGATATATGTCACAAGACGGATGAACCTTGAGGATACTATGCTAGATAAAATAAACCAGTCACATAAAAACAAATACTGTATGATTCCACTTAGCTGGAGTACTTAGAGTAGTAAAATTCATAAGAGACAGAAAGTAAAATGGTGGTTGCAGAGG